TAATTGGGGAGGGGACCTTAAAAGGGTTGCCAAAAGCACTTTTTCTCTTTTTGTCTGGGGCTTTTAGGCACAGAAATGACACTTCTCAGCCAGGTTGAGATGAGCCTGTGGGAAACGTTCACGTGGCAGTGGGCCTGCAGGAGCCCACGTTACGCGGGGCTGTATGCCTGAGCGCAGCGTCAGTCCTGACTTCACACAGCACGGAGACATCCTTTGGATGGGTCTCAGTATCGTACTTCTGGGCAAGAAAATCCTGCCAACCTGATGAGACCTTTGTCCACAGAGCCTCCGGTGTCCTGGCTGTGGTCACCTACATGTCCTTCCCCGCATCCTCCCAACTCCCTCTTTGGCTGCGGGGCCTGTCTGTGGACCTCCCTTTGCCAGGACACTCCCCCCCCCTTATTTTAGGCAGCTAAGTTAGATAGAAATTAGTGTGAAGTCAGAGAGGCCCTGGCTCTAAAGGAAGCTGGGGAAAATAGAGTGGCCAGCATCGTGGCCGGAACATCCTCTGAAGAAGGCCAGGCCTCCAGCTAGAAAGGCAAAGGCCAGGCCCGCAGGCCTCTCTAACACATACACAGAGGGCCACTTGGAATCATTCTGTAATGAGCACCACTGGTCTGGTCAGTCCAGATGGCTCCGTGGCCCAGGTGGGCGACCACAGCATCTGACCTCTCTCTCCCCAAAATGCCTTGGCTCTTCCCAGGCATCCTTGTGAATGAGTTGGTTCCCCATTGGATGAATACTAGTGAGGCAGCTCTACTTGTAATCCTATAAGTTGATTATAGTTTGACCTATACTGTGACTTTGCTGTATAGATTGCCTGTGACAAAGGCCATTGTGACAACCCACTCAGGATCCCTCCTATCTCTCAAGAACTCTCTCTCCATAAACCTTTCCTACTCTTAATCTCTGTTGTTCCTTAAAATCCATTCTTCAATTTTGGGGGACGCAGACTCTACCATTGGACATCTAGCACACGGGGTTCTAGCTCTGTGTCCCCTTCATGGGCCAGCCTTCCCCTGAGAAATCCTGCTCACCCTCAGTGGTTACTGTTGGCAGCCTCCTGTTAGGCGGGGAAAATGTCACCCAGAACGTAGCAAACGGAATCTAAGCCCACCCGTGCCTGCTTCATTCTCCCAGGTCTCTTGTCGTCTCCCTGCTTCGACAGCAAGCAGACTGCAGGTCCCTAGAGACCTGGAAATGTTGGCTAGGCTACGACTATAGGGGAAATTTATATGCCGCATCATTTTTCAGTAAACTGAGTGAAAAGTAGGTTTCTAATTTGGTACGAGATGAAAGCAAAATATAAACTTACATCTAGGGAGATCCCTACTTCAGGTCAACAGTGTAGGCCAACAAATGTGTGTCTTTGAAATACAGGATTTTCTGAGAACTTGTTTCTGAAGTTCTTTGAAAATCTGGCCACGGGGCCCCATTTCAACATGCCAGTCTACATAAGAAGCAGGTCAGAACGCTTCTAAGGGTTGTTTTCCTTTATGCAGCCAGCAGACACGGCTCAAGCATGGGCTGCAAGGACAAAGGGCGTGGAGCAGCTGATCTGGGGACCCGTCAGGACAGCCCGCCCTCCCGCCCCAGGCGGGAGGAAGATGCAGAGTCTGCACTGCGTGGCCATGACATGATGACACATGATGACGGATCATCCTGCTTTCTTCATCTCGCTTTTCTTAACTCACGCCAGGGGACAGGAAAAAAACATTGTAAAGATTGAGATCTGTGGTTTGGTCAGGTGAGTAGCACCTGTATTACAATTTTATGAATTCTGTCTTGACTTTGTAAATTCCTTGAGGTTAATTTATTACTTTTTTAAAAAAACCTTTAGGAGTAGAATACATGTTGATATGTGGAAGCACCAAGTTTCTGCTACTTACAGTTTAAATTGGGATTTTCCTAGATCATAGCATCTTAGCAAATTTTGGGGGGGGAGACACAGAAACATATTTGTGCAATGCAGGCACTGAAGCAGCAAGTGGTGAGCACGAAGTGTGACTGAAGTACACAGTGAATGTTTAAAAAAATTATTAAAACACGATGCCGCTAAGTCCTGCTCCCAGCACTGCCCCTCGCGTGGAGCACACCTGTCCCCTGCTCCTGCCCCTGTGAAGCAGTCCTCAAGCCTCTCCTTGGTGAGCGTCTTCATCATCCACCACACCTGGCACCACGCGCCTTCCGGCTCCTTTCAAAGTCTAAATGACCAGGAAAGGTGAACATTTTGAATCTGCACAGGAAATCAAAGCAGCCACGGCGACAGGACTGTAGACACTCATGAGAGTGTTCAGGGCTTGGGGTGCTGGAGTCTCGTCTAGCAGTGGTCTTTCTAGCCGAAATAAAAATTAGTCAAGATAAGCACAAAAGCTAGTGAGGCTTAACATTTACTAAAGGTATAAAAAGAAAAGAAATATGCTCTGCGGAGGTACAGGCCGAGGAAAGGATGCGCTAAGGAAAGGGGGGGAAGAAACGACGCATGGCAGGGCAGACCTCGGTGAGAGCGCGCGGTGGCCACGCAGAAGGTGGAGCCGTCTCTGCGCCTCCCATCACGGGGAAGCGATCTAGGCCCTTCTATCCAAACCTTGCCTGGGTTCTCCGAGAACTTGGAGCGCACTCTCTGGCTGGCTCCATACGCAGGGCTTTGGGGACCGCTCTGCGCACTGCTCCTGGCGCTTCAGGACAGGCAGATCACGGCCCACCTCCCCGGCCAGTCTGTCCTGCCCTGATCTACCTCCGCAGGACTTCTACAACGCTTCAGAAAGTGGGGAGGAGGGCCGGCCAGATAGCTCAGCGGACTAAAGCACCCGCTTAGGCAGCGACTGGCCTCGATCGCCTCGTGCCCCGCCCCTGGGACAGGCTGAGCCCGCGATTGAGACTAAGGGTGGTGGCGCACGCCTGTAATCCCAGCACTTGGTAGGCTGAAAACAGGAGAATCACTAGGAGTCCCTTCTGTGTAGCGAGACCCTGTACTAAATACATTTTCTAAAAAAAGTGGGGAGAATGGTGTGTATAAAGCGGGGAGATTAATGGCACTTTTACTGTAATTTTTAAAAATGTACAATTCACTGGGTTTTTACTCTGCACATATTCTTAACGACTTACTTCCTAGCTGTCTACCGCTGTTCCAGCGGCTTCGCACGAATCCGACCTCTAGGAAACTATCATCCTCACTGTACAGATAAGACTGAGACCCAGACACACTATTTATTAAAAAGCAGCTAACTGGTGCCAGAACTAGAACCTAGAAAATTCGAGTCCAAATCCTCGCATTGATTGTGTTCAGGCTCCTATTTATCCCTGAAGTCACTTCCTTCGGCTGTCTCTAAGCCAAGGGTTAGGAGCAGCTCAGGGTGTGCGCGCTGCCAACGGCCATTCGCTCCGCGGGCTGGGGACCCTGCCCGGGCCACTCCGGGACGCCCCGACTGCCACCAGGGCCTGCCTGGCGGCCGCTGCCACATCTCGCACAGGTGCGTCCCGCTCTCATCCGCACGGCCGGCGACAGGCCGCTGTCACCGACGTATCGACCCCGAGCCCCGTCTGCTTCCCGGACTTGACCGAGAAACGCGAACGGTACTAAGTGGCTCGGGTTTGGGGCCGATATGACCCGGGCGACAGTCAGCTCAGCTGAGCGCGATCCCGCTCGGGCAGATCCCGCACAGGCCCGCAGCTCTGGCGCCAGCACCCGCGAGGGGGCGTCGCCCGAAGGCCCCGGCCGCGCGGCCTACGGCGGGCTGGAGGGCGCGGGAGACCGGAGCGGGGGGAGGCCGGAGCGCGGGAGGCCGGAGCGGGGGAGGCCGGAGAGGGGGAGGCCGGAGCGGGGGAGGCCGGAG